TATCTATATGTCTATTTATATTAATATATATAGTAAATATTTCATGTAAATTACATTTAGATTTAATGTTTAATACTTTAATATTTACTATTTAAATAATTACATTTGTCATTGTAAGACTTTTATGCAATGAAAATTTAACCTGAATGAACAAGAGATCTTGTGGATCACCAGATTTGACTTCTGGACTGTGCAGCAAAATAGTCTATAAAGGCCTGTAATCCTTTGTTAGGTGGTGAGGACGTAAAATGCCTTAGTTTGTTCTCTGTAGCATGCATTCTTTTATCAGGATATATCTGGTGTCCCTAACTTGTTTGACTAGTTGAAACAGTTTACAGGTATGGTGACCCACTTCTGAATTCCAATAATCCTAGTGAAAATAGAGATGAGACTTTCTGATATTATTGTTACGCATTTCTGAAAATAAATATTTTTTAAAATGCTGGTTACATGCAATATCCTGTAAGCATGTATGTCTCTTTAGAGTGTATCTTACAGTGGAGTTTGTGTCTTAATGCTTCCTTTTTTGACTTATGCTGAGGAAGTTTTAACTAGATGCTTGAACTTTTTGAACTGAAAAGGTAGAGAAGGGGTTGGGAAGGCACAGATCGTGGAATGAGCCATCCGCTCATTCCACTTTGAAGTGAGTCTTTGAAGGAGCTCTGCATTCTTGTGCTACATATGGAGGAATAGATTTGTTTTCTTTTGCCTTCGATTTGAGAAGATGAATCAAATAGCTCCAGACCTTTGAGTGCCATTGTTGTTGAACATACAAAAGAGTAGATGTGGAGGTTTATCTTTCTCAATGTCCCTGAAGCCATATTCTTTTTATCACATAATCTATGTTATGGATCTGTGTTACCATATGTTACAGATCGTGTTATGGCTTAGGTAAGCTTATTTAACTTAAAATCTGTTCACTTCCTTAAATTCAAAACCTTTTTACATCATTTTAGTAATTTGGGGCAGGCAGGGGTGTCAGCAGGGGTGTAAGCAGGCTGAAGTCTTCTGACTTTCAGAGCAACTTTTAAAGAGGGAGAGGGACGTAAGACCACAGATGTTTTTGCTCTGTCTGTCCTCCTCTTTTCAAAGTAATGCGATTGATTGAGATGAGGTGAAGTACCTGCTGCTGTAGCCTTGCAGATGTTGCGTATCGTCCACTTATTCAGCATTTAGCTTTACTCCAAACCTCTCTTTTTTTGTTTGCATTGCCTTTTGCTTCCATAGCAGGCAATGGTTTTCCAAATAAATAATGTGAAATAAAAGTTAAATTTTGAGTAGCAGTTGAGTCTTAGAAAATTGCAGCAGATGAAGACTGAAAAATCCATTTCCACTGGTAGGCTTAATACTTGCAGACTTAAACTGTTACCTGGCTGTTGCCTTACGTTGTGAGGAGAAACAGTGTAAGAGCTCTAGAAAATGTTTTGATATAATAGGTGCAACTGTAGTTGGCTGATGTTGATGTTTTGGCTTCTCTTTCTCTCTTTAGTTGGCATGGAAAACTTACCACTCATAAGTAACAAATGTGGTTTGGAGTCCTGTTACATGTTTTATCTATAGAGCTATTACTGCATTTTTTTAACAGTCTTTCCTTTGTTTTGCTTTAGAATAGCTTCTAAAACTTTTGATTTAGTTTGCAAAGAGAGAAGCATGTATGCTGGTTTTGTATGTGCCATGGATCCTTGTATTTCTTCTAGCTATCCTTTCTTTAATCTCTCTCTTTACCTTTGGAATTGTAAGCTTCATAGTTTATTGTATCAGTTCATTTGCATTATTACATAGTGGTGAGCTTAAAAATTCATTGTTTATGTAAGTGATAAAATGGTTAAACAAATGCTAAAGTGCATGTGTTGTGCCTGTAAAGAGAAATTATTGCTGGTGAAAAGTATGTATTTTTTTTTTAAATTAGGTTACTGTGAAGTCTAGGTTAATCTGAACTATCTGCCCTAAATATTTAAGTATTAACTCTGAGCCTAAGAAATTACCAAATGTTTCTCTAAGTGACTTTGACAAAGTATTTCTCCACGGTATATATACAGTAGCCATTCTTTACTGACACTGCTTAGCAAGTGAGAATGGCTGATGAAACTTTTTGGATGGTTAGCTTGTCTTATCTCTGCTACTGCTGCTATATTGCTAACATTACCTCTGGATAACAGTTACAAATACATGATGTACCTTGGGCAGTTCAGGTGTATCTATGCAATCCTCAGTTTTGCTCTTTTGACTGCAGAATATATAAAATTTTAGGAATTGGTCAGGTCAGAAAAGTAAATACGCCTCAATGAAAGAAGAAAGATCAACTTGCATTTGTGTGGATGGCACAAGACTTCTTTTCCACAGATCATCATGATCTCTTTGGTTTTTGATGATTAAATCTGAACTTTAAAACCAAGTCAGGCAATGGTAAGTCTTGCAAGAAAGTAGGATATAGAAATTATGATTCTGCACTTATTATGCACAGGTGGCTACAGGAAGCCATACTGAACTGACGTCTACATTAAGCATATACAGGGCCAAGGCCCCAGAAAAGACCCCTTTGCACCATCTGTGGGCTTTTTCTGACTGCTTAGCATAGTAACTCAAAACTGATAATATAAGTGTATAATTGACATCACTAAATACTACATTCATACATTAAAGTTTGAATGTATTTTCTGTGACTTCATAGTGTATTGTCTATATACTGCTTTCTTGAAAGAGGCAAATCAATGTAGACACGAATCTGATCTGAATACTTATAGTACCTAAATGAGCTCACCTTAGAGCACTGCTATTTCATTTACCATATTTATTAATTTCTGAGGAAAATATACCTTTTAATGTTTAATATTTCCATTTATGTTTCCTGCAGGCCAGCAAACAAGTTAGAAATATGGGAGGATTTAAAGATAATAAGTAAGTGGAAATGAAAGGTTCCATCTGCATAATATTTAGTATACATTTCAAATGTCTTTCACACCCTTTAAAATGCATGCTTCATACTGGGCTGTTGTTTCAGTAGATATGAAGATAGTGTAATACAGTATGTGGCAAACCTCCTCCCTGCCCACCCTCCCAAGAGCACCTCATGAAGGAATTTTTCATAGCCCCAGGGGAAGTTAGAAGCTCAAAGACAAAGCTGAAGAATTTTATTGGCCTTCATGTTACCCCACTCAAGAAAACTTTGTGGGAACTTTCTGTGCCTTCACAGGAAAATCAGACTAGTTTTTTTGAAGGTTCTATGCTGAATCTAACAAAACATCAATCAGAAATGGAGGCCAGCCCTTACCTGGCCAGCAGTTTCCTCTTTTCAAGCCTGTTTGAGAGAACCACCATAGCAGTGGTTGTGAACGCTTTGGTTCATCTTTTTATTTATCGCCTGATGGAAGCAGTGGAAGGGAAGGAAGAATAGTGAAGTCACATAATTATGTAGTGAATACTCCTCAGCTTTTTCTACTACTTTTGATTCCTCAGTACCATTTGTTATCCCTCCCACCTCCCTGGTTTTGTCTTTCCTTCCTTTTGGTTTTGTTTCTCCTTTTCACAGATCCTACTTCTGATCTGGCTGCTTTCTTCCCGTGTCCTTGCTACTCAGCCTTTATCCATATTTATTCACATCACTTCTTCCACACGTCCACTGTTGCCTACTGGCTGGTAGCTGATGCTCATTTTAATTTTCTTTCTTTAGATATTAGCTGCTCCTGCCTTAGGTAGCTTTTTTCCAAAGCTGCTGTTACTCCTTCTGTGTCTTAATTGCATGACGAGGGCTAACATACTGTGTGTAATTCCTGGCCTGAAGAAGAAAGGTGATTTGACAATATACCCATTTTCCTTCTGAAGCAACTTCTATAAATTTTATTTTTCCCCAAAATATCTTGTGTAATGTGCAAAATTACATGAATGTAGGACTTTAAATGGGACACTTTAGACGTAGCTGCAGCACATATTAGACTCATGACCATCTTGGGCATGTTGTGAAAACAAGTGTTATGACAACCAATGAAAGAAATGTGACTGTGTATTTAAAATTCATCAGCACTTCCTGAGTCTTGGAGAGCAGTCTCCCTCCTTGACTCACCCTTATTTCTTTGACTTTGAAGTTATTTTGTTGTCTCTTTTCAAGGTTTCACAAGAAGCATTGTAGCTGTATATAGTACCTGTATGCTAGTAGTTCTTTTGCGAGTCCAGTTAAATATTATTGGCGGTTACATCTACCTAGATAATGCTGCACTCTGCAAAAACGGCACAGTAAGTTTCTTGTTTTGTTTCAAAGGTAGAACTTCCACTGTCTTGGAAGTGAAAGGATTATTTAGTGAGAGATAAAAAGGGCATAGCGTAGGAGTGTTAGAATGAAAGAGAGTGCTCTTATAAGAGTAGGAGATGTGGAAGCATTACTGAAAGTAATATTGATGTGTTCTAATAGCCTCTAAAATTGGATGATTTGGTCATACGCTTGCTTAACAAAATACTAGCAATACTGAAGGATACCTTCTGTCTGCATTTGTATTGCTTAAAGAAGGTTACTTCAGATCTGAACACCAACGTAAAATAATTTCTTAGGTTTCATTAATTTTTTGTGAAACAGTAATAGTGTGTGAATGATCCCAGATATTTAGACAAATGTATATAAATGCTTAGGTCTTCCTAGCACATACATTAATTCCCCCAGCTAAATTTTCCTAGGATTAAAGAAGAAAAATGTTGTCTTTGAAATTTTAACTGTTTTGTTTAACTCCAAAAAGGCCATCTACCTAAATATCTGTTGGTGGGGCCAAGCAAGGTAGAAGGCTTGCTTTTTGTTTGTTCAGTACAACTATCACTGCTCAATAAAAATAGATCAATCCCACAGTAAGCAAGTACCCATTGTAGAGAGTAAGATCTGCAAATTGTTGGATGGCTCATCTAAAAATAATGGCTACAAACTTGGATTAGTTCTCATATGTCCCCCTGTGATAGCTCCTGCTGAGAGTCAAGGAACAGCATGTCAAGACAGGTCTGAGAAAAGCTTTCATTAGGGACTTCAGGGTTGATGGAGGTCGTGCTTCACTTTGTAAAACCCAAAAAAGATTTTTTTAAAAGGGCAAGATGAGCTTGGACTAGAAACATGTTTCTGTTATTTTTCCAAGAGAAGTGGGTTAGAATAGTTAGTTTGGGTTGGAAGGGACCTTTAAAGGCCATCTAGCCCAACCCCCCTGCAATGAGCAGGGACATCTTCAACTAGAGCAGGTTGCTCAGAGCCCCATCCAACCGGACCTTGAATGTTTCCAGGGATGGGCATCTACCACCTCTCTGGGCAACCTGTGCCAGTGGTTCACCACCCTCACTGTGACAGGGCCAACTCTGAGGCGCTGTTCTGGAGCAGGCTGGGACCCTATCTCAGTTCCTGAAAGCTGCTTTTCTATCAGATAAGCTTTTGTTAGGGTTTAGCATAAATATCCTGTTCTACTGCATTTAAGTTTTGGGGTGCTGGAGGGTCTAGTTTCACCTGCAATGCAGTTTTTTAAGAGACTTTCCTATATATGAATGAAAAGTGAAAGATTTTCCTGTGCCACTGAAGATGGAAGAGAGATCTGTATAGTATTGAAGAGAAGAATGCCAGAGGACGTATGAAAGATCCATGGGTTGATGGCAGGAAGAGAGTCAGAAGCTACGGAGTTGCATGAGAATGAGGGAATCCATCGGCTGCAGGGTATTATATAAAGATTAAGGAAATTGTTCACAACAGGTTTGAAATGTTTTGTGCATTGTTCTCTACTGTTGACATGTCACAGAACTGTTTGTTATTTTTTCCCCACAGACACCACTAGCTCCCCCTGAAGTTCAGCAGCAATATTTATCAAGTATTCAGCACCTTTTAGGAGATGGTATGATGCTTATTATAAACTAACTACACTTACAAAATGCTACTTTTTTTTCTAGACTTGAGCAAATCATTAGAATAATTTTCACACTTTTCTTGTTCTAGGACTGACTGAGTTAATAACTATTGTTAAACAAGCTGTACATAAAGTTTTTGGAAGGTAAGAGTCTGTATTTCTCTGTGGTTAGCTTTTAATCTTTATTGTGATGACTGTTCCCAAAACAATGAGTTTTATTAGAATTTTAAAAAGGGAAGACGTACTACTTTTTCCAAAACAATGCTTTTATTATAGCAGGCTATGTCTGCCAGTGCAAACCAATATAGCAGATTGGGATCCTTGTGAAAATGTTACTGGTAGGAGAACAAAGCATCATTATTCATTTTGCAATCAACACTATCAACAATTTCCTTTCCAGTATTTCCCTTAAGCACACCCTATCTCTTCTGGACTTGGAACAGAAATTTAAAGATATCAGGAGAGTAGTGGAACATAAGGATTCAGATCAGATTGCATCTTACTCTCCCTTATGTCATTATCTGATGCCAGATGAAGAAAACCCCTTGGCTACCCAGGTACATGTTTCAGTTTCTTTGATCTACTTTTCTTCATTTTTTTGTCTGTTTTGGGGAAGGAAGGGTGCATAACACTCCTCTAGTTGTACTGTGGCATCTGTATCTTTAATAAACGGTGATGCCTCTTCCACCATAAATCAAGTGTGTCTCTCTCTTCAATCTAGGCAAAGTAAAGTTGTACTTTCATCAGATTTGATTGAAAACAAGTGTCATCCTCAGAATGTCAGCTTTGAGCTCAGAAACACAGCCCAATTACCGCTTTTAGCCTGTGACATATGCTGTAACACAGTGCAGCTTAACTCATCCCTAAGCTAAATTGTATTATCTTGCACTTGTGTACCAACAAAGATCATGCAGTGTTGTAGCATCTTGGCTGATGCACAAGAAGGTGATGGTGTGCTGGAGTCCTTTGTTGCTTTGGGCTGGAAAATGAACAGGAGTCAACAGAAAGGCGTATTTAAACTCAGTTGTCACAACTTCCTAAATTTTCTTAGTGTTTGTCTCCATCTGCACCACAGGTTGGAGAAAACTCATTCTTAACTTGATATTATAGTGGTATAGAGAAGAAACTTAGGCTCCAGTGTGTGACTACATGCACTTATCCCTTTAACTTAAGCTGATATGCAGGGTTTATTTCCATTTTAGAGTTCAGAAGTAGAAAAAATACTTTGCTTAGTTAGCCTGGTATTTTTCATGTTGTTTTTAGTAAAAATTCCTACAGTGACCATTTAAAAAGAAAATTAGAACACAAATCATAAAGAATCTCATTTATAGTAAATCTTTTCTTTTAAATAGATGTGTCTTGTACATCTTTGCTTAATTCCGTGGTACAAAACTCTTCTATTTCTACTCTTATTCTTATGGTTGCCAATGGATTTCCTTCAAAATAGTGTCTGTCTGTCTTTGCTTTTTCTAGGCCTGTGGACTCACAGAAAGAGATGTTGCTACAATTAAATTACTTAATGAAACTAGAGATATGCTAGAAAGGTATAGAGAAATATTCTGTATTCATATTAAACTTCTCCTCACAACTATTGTTTATGTAAGACAATTACCTTCATATAAAAAGCTGTCAGCTTTCATTTGTGAAATGTGACCACTCTGCTGCATTAAATATTTATATTCACTAATTGTAGGCTGGAACTTTAAAAATTTGAGAGCTCTGAAACTCATTTATATCCTGCCTTAATGAGAGGACCAGGATGTCCTTCCCAGTCAGACCCCCCTTTACCTCTTCCTCACCTTTTCTGTAGTTACGCAGGAGCAGAGGAGTACTTCTCTTCTGCTAAAGCAGGGTAAATTGAGTCATTTTATAGGATTTACTTGCTTTGATAAAATGAACACCAGTTTTGGCATATCAGAGTTTATTTTTAATGCATGGTTTTGAGAGTGGTTGTATGGCTGTATGCTTGTACCAGAGAGCTATGGACATGAGGCTTCTGTAATAAATGTTGAACATGATGGAATTGAGCCCAATGCCAAACTATTCTTACACTTCAGCTGTTGAAGATCTGGGGCTTTTTAAGGGTGAGAGAAGTCCCTTCTATGTACTACTTAGCAAGAAAGAGAAGTGAGGAATGCTGTAGATTTATCTGGTTTTTATTAATCTTAGGGTAGAGCTTAGGTTGTCGATTGGTTTGCTGTGGAGTTGCTGGGGAGCTGGTCTTTTCTTGAGGAGGCTATAGCTTATGGCTACATGGCCTTTTGCATCTTCCCTTATGGGAGGGACATCTGTAGCACTGAAGACTTGCAGAGGGTTTTAGTTTGAAAAAATAAATCCCAGGAACCAAACCATTTGGGTTTTTTTTCAGTCCAGACTTCAGTACAGTTTTGAGCACGTGTTTAAATAGAGGCTTCAGTCGACTGCTGGACAACATGGCAGAGTTTTTTAGACCTACTGAGCAGGACCTTTTGCGGAATGGCTCTGTACATAGGTAAGTGTGTTCTTTTGTTGTGGTTCTCATGTGACTAATGCTTTGGGTTCATAGTGAATTCCAAAAAAAGGCTATGGATTTTCCTGCCCATTTGAAGTTCTCACACTGGAAATAATTCTGCTTCTTGCTTTTCAAGAATAAATGCAGTCTCCTCACTTCGGTCAAGCAGACAGCCAGGAGTATGCCATGTTTCTTCCCACCTTGACACCGCTAGAATTTACGTGAGGTATCTTTTCCACCATGACTTGCAGATTTAAAAGTAGAACTCGGAAGACGTGTACCTTCCACTTTTTGCCAAGCCTGTAGAAGCAGACTGCCTTTCTAGCTAAGGAGTCCCCACTGGTGGCGACTGCTGAAAGACGTACTGCAGTACCTCCCCCGTGAGAAGGATAGCGTGCTGCCACGCTTAGCAGATAAGCTCTCTACCCCCCCAGACCCTGGCTGTCCCTTGCTGTAGTTCTCAAGGAAGGTGGGCATTACCACGATTCTCCAAATACAGGCAGCCAAAGCACGTACAGAGCTTTAGGTTCCTCACTGGTATGCTGAAAAAAAGATACTAACATTCAGGATCTTCTGCCTCTTCCTAGAAGCCTGTTTAAAGGTAGCTTTTATTCTGAAGTTAACTTTGGTGTGGAACAATGCAGTGAGAGTGTTACAAATCCAAAAGCTGAGTTGAAATCCGTGAAATATAATTTCTAAAATACTAAAACCTTGAATAATAACTGGTTTTATGTAATTTATTTTAATAACTGATGGCTCTCAAAGAGTAATGTTTTTCTTTAAATACATGCTATTTACATCACCTAAAATATCCCAAAGGCTGTAGTTTGGCTGTCTGTCCTAAGCCTGGTTTAGAGTTTGAGATACTGTGAGACTGCACTGGCACTTCTAACAACTGTTTACACATGCACTCACATGTAAAGGCTCTAGCTAAACCGTGTTTCTCTTGCACAAGAAGCAAGTGTGAAACTGTGAGTAGTGGGAACACCAGCTGAAATGTGCTTGGGTACTTCTCTCTGTTAAGTGAAAGCCCTGATAGGGGAAAAAAACCTTCATCTGTACATTTTCGTTTGCAGTCGTTCAACTCTTTTGAAGTAGCAATTATTTAGAATTGTAATAATCACACTTTAGTGGCTTTACTAATGTCAGAGCAGGTCTAACTCAGTATTTTTTGTTCTCTTCTAGTCTTTCCAGTGTCAGTCTTCCTTTAGCCAAGATAATTCCAATAATAAATGGACAGATCCATTCAGTATGCAGTGAAACACCCAGTCACTTTGTTCAGGTAAGAATCTTTCTTATTTAAAATATCCCAAGTAAAATTTAAAAATGAATGTTGTATATTTCTTTTTAAAAATGTACTTCATTCTGTTTAATTTCAGTGGCATTAAAAAAAAAAAGTAGAAACAACTGGCCTAATTTGAACTTTTTGTAAACTTCTATCTTCTAAAAATATGCTATTTTTCTAGGACCTCCTCCCTCTTCTAAACTGTGCAGAAGCACAAAAAGGATCTATTGACTTGGTTCTACTTGCAGTTCTGCCCATAAACCTTTCTAAAGTGAGAAATTTGAGTTAGTGTGTGGGAGTGCCAGGTGCATTTTCTCATGCCAAATTATGTACTGCAGCAAAACCAGAATAGTGGTGGATGTGTTTGATTAAGCAAATTTATCCTTTAAATTTCTTCCAGGACCTGTTGATGATGGAGCAAGTGAAAGATTTTGCTGCTAATGTTTATGAAGCTTTTAGTACCCCCCAGCAACTAGAGAAATGAACTGCACACTTGTAGGAATAGGTGGTGTATTTATAACAAATCCAGCTGTAACTACTGATGAGACTTGGGTCCATTTTATAATGATGTAGGAGTGGTAGACCAGCAGAAAAAACATTCTGAAAAAAAGTAGGAATGCGCCCATTTTTGTTCTGATAGAGTTCTGTTTCAAACACCCATTAAAAATATTCTTGTTGAAAGAATCATTGTATGTAAAGACTTTCTATTAAAAAAAGCAGTTAAACTCTTCTGTAATTCATTGGATTATTTTTATTGCATCTGAAAGGCATCTGGTGGCAGTATTATACCAAGCAACTAAAAAAACCCTTTGTTTGCCTGGGGTGTGTAAGTTTTGGAAAAAACTAATGGTAGTGATTTAAGAATAGCAGAGAGTAGCAGAATGAAGTAAGGCTTCTTTCTTCTTCTCCCCAATTTTTCTTTTCATAAAGGAAAATTCTTTTTTCCCCATAACTTTACAAATGTTATTCCAAAGAGTCTCTCATGCTTCAGAAAGCCTTTGCCAACTGATGCACGTTCCCCTTGAACAAGCAGGGGGGTGGGGTCTGCTCTCTCTCTTACTTTATACTAAAGGAATGTGGATTTTAGAAGTTCTCTTGTTTATGCTGTTCAAACAGCTATACTGTACACATTAAACTTGTACATATTTTATCTTAATTTGTATTAATTTTGAGCCCAATTGTCTGTACTGTAATAAAATATTTTACTGTAAAAATTGTATGTGTATTAACATTACTAGCAGGAAAGGCAATTTCCAAACCCCATTTGGCCCATCATTTAAATTCTTTCAACTTCATCAAAATCAAGTTAAAATCTTAACTTATCCAGTAATTGTTTTTCATTTATTAACATTACTCAGGAAAAATAAACCTTTGACCTCTACACTGAAACAATTATTGTTTTCTGTTGTCTTATACCTCCCCTATACCTTTGCAAACTTCACACTGCAGATCTGTCCCTACAAATCCTGTCACATGATGAGTTTGGGAATTTTGCAAGTTGGATGCAATCTACCCTCTGCTTAAAATGTTGGGTCTCTGCCAAAGCTGAGCATCCCTAGCAACTCCTGATTATTTCTGTTTTTTAATGAAGTTAGTCTTTGAAGTATGTATTTTGTTTCATAGTCCACAGAAGGCACCCTGGTAACTGTGTAAAAACAATGGCTGTAAACAATAGTCAGCTTTAACCACATAAAACTATACAAAACAGGAAAAAAAACCCTCCTATTTGACTTGTATCCCAATAATGGAGAGAATTAACAACAGGGACAGGTAAAATTAGTAATTTTCATGATGAGAAATGAAGATGTACATGGGCATTGCCTCTGTGCATATGTGATGAATTCCTAACCCTTCTAGGACTGTTCTTGCAGGTACATTACCCTACTCAGCTGAAACTACCAGCTGCCAGCAACTGCACAAAACTGGAAAAATTTTATTATTTTCTCTAAAACTGTACAGTAAAAACTGTCAGTTTAAGGCAAGAAATCTAACTTCTGTAGATTCTGTACATTCAAACGCTGGCTTGAGCTAGCTTTGTTCTTCCCGTGACTTTAAAAACCCAGTGGCTGGTGCCCCCCCCTTGCCCTAGTCTTCACAGAACTTGGCAAGAAACTGAGAAAAGCGGACAGGTCAAGGTAGATGCTCAGTTTTTCACACAAGTTCAAAGAAACAAAGTATATGCAGAGATTTCACTGCCTAATGCTAGATTTCAGGTGAGGTTCCTTCCATTCCATCCTTTAGTAACAGCCCACCCTTCAGAAAAAGTGAAATTACTGATGTTTCTCAGCCAAGCAAGTAAGAAGCCAAAACCCCAGCATTCCCTGCTACGCACAGAGGGGGCTCCAGCAGTGAATGGCTCAGTTTATGCCAGTCAGTTGCAAAGTCCAGCCCCAATGACATGGCAATTGCTTTGGAGTTAACTGAGGTAGAGCTATCAGGATTCCCTTTTCTCCCAGTGCAACCCATTTCAGCAGTTCCTGGTAGCCAGCCAGCTTCACCTGAGATGATAAATAGAAACATACACTACAGTTAGAACAGTGCCTTTTCAAAGTGCACATAACTGCAAAAGTGACAAAAAAAATGTTGTTCATAGCTACTTTACTGGTCAGTTATCCTCAAATTCCACTTGGCAACCAAATGAATGATTAAACAATTATTAGAGGTAGTAGAAAAATACTTGCAAAGTAGATAAGTAAGTAATAAAGCTGGTGATATTAGGTCTTGAGAAGTACTTAGGTCTGTAAAAGGTACATAAACACTTTTCAGAAGTATTTGGGTCTAAGCAGGAATCTGGGCACCACACTGCACAGTTTTGTATCACCTATTTCTGAAATGCCTGTTTCCCATGGTGGAACTTGTAGTCTTGAGTGGGCAATATTCCTTACAGAGTGCAGCCAGGTATCTCAGAACAAAGCTAACCTGAAGAACCTCTCCGCTAAAAATACACAAAGAAGTTTTATGGTGAGACTCTTACGCCAGCTGGTGAAATGCTGAAAATAGTGGAAGAGCTGAAGACCAGTCTCCACCCCTGAAGAAGATTACTGTCTTGTGCATGTATAGTCTAGATGCCTCTACAAAATTCAAGATTTATCTACATCATTTCTGAAATTATTTCTTCCTTATCACAGAACTGTCTTGGCACTAATTAAGATTCTTTTCATATGGAACTAGACCAGAAGAGATGGTCTAGAAACACCCTTAATGCATTTCAGCAGGTAGTGGGCATCCAATGCATGAGACCAGGGACATATCTAAGCCAAAGTGAATACCCACCTTAAATGCACAGCACTGATATTAAATCCCGAGCACCACCTGTTCTGCTCTATAGATTGGGTTACACTACTTGTTAGAGTAGGTGTGACATCAGTGTCCTCAACTTTGCTCCAAGACACGCATCTAGGGCTGCACTGAGTTACTCTTTAGCACCCCTGGGCAACGAAAACCTCTGTGTACTTTCCCTTTGTGCAAGGCTTTGGCTTGAAGCTACTGCACCATTACAGCAATCACAGTATCACCAAAGTCATGAGGATGGCTATTTATAAAGAAAGGTCATGCCAAGTTAAGAGTCTACACAGGGAATAGGAGGGGTGGCAGGTTTTTTTCCTGCTACTTGGCCTCTTTTTATGATCCTTAGTTTGCAAGCTAAAACACAGCCCAGCAACAATTCAGTCTAGCTTTGTTTGTTGGAGAAGAAACACCCCACTGGGAAGACTATGACGAGGAGATCCCATAAGGAAAACAAACATTTTGCTGGGTCTCTTCCAATGTACTCTGTCCTCAGAGTTATGCATTCCCAAAAGATGCCAGAAACTAAAATAAATAGTGATGGAACATGACAATAAATAGTGATGGAACAAATCCTAGAGGTGTTTTCCTTCAGAGTATGTTCATTTCTTGCACTGTGTGTCAAAAGCCTCACTGTTCTAAAGGGGAAGGGGGGGGTGGTGTGGGCGTGGGTGTTGTCTTTTACCTGTGTGTCTCCAAGCTTAGCCTGTGGCTCACCAAGTTCCAGAGTCCCAGAGACTGGCCAGTTAAGGAAGATAGCATTGACTCTGCCTTCTTTAGGGCTGAAAGTGTACCTGGTTGGAAATGGGGAACAGAAATGCAGGTCAGTTTTACCTTGTAAATTTTCTGAAGTGATAGAGTGCTTTCAACAGTGGAAAAAATGGATTTGAAAAGTCAGCCTTAATTACATTTTCACACACATAACCATCTTTTCAGATGGTTTTTCTTTAATAAAAGTACTGTTCCAACAAACTAGAGGTAATAGAGACTATTAAAGAACTGATTTTAGAGGTAAACATCTTAGTAACTTTAGCAAGCCTATAGTAATGCACTGCTACTCAGCCATGTAGGGAGGCGGCACTTGCAGTGCAGGGGAAATCATTAACAGATAATTGTGGATCATATTCAGAAAAATATGGTAATTCACAAACATACAGATATTCCACAAGAGTATGTGTGACAATAAAGCTTGCACCTTGAATGGATAGTTTTTTAAATTTTAATTTCAGCAGACATTATCTACAGTACGTCCTTGGAAATCTTGTGGCATACATTTGAAACATTCCTCCCTCCTTCCTTCATTTAGTTACAATTTTTTACTGCTCTTGGAAATGGTTTTATTAAACAGCCAACAGTTCAGCGTTTCAAGGCTAAAGCCAGATTGCCAAATCCTACTGGGAACAGGAGTGAACTCTCACTGAAGCAGAGAAGGGGGTCAAGACCAAAACCCTGATGGGTTTTGGCATTACAGCAGCTATGAGGCACAAAGGCAGAGGAGAGTCCAGAATTTAGTGAATTTAGCTGAATTTAGTGACCAAATAATTGCTGTTATCTTCTCATGCATTTTTACCTTAAAAAGAAATGCAGAATATGTTAGACTGATGTCTAGTTTCTTTCTCTCTAAACAGTGACATCAAGTATTCCTTTGTACAGATAAACATAGCAGTTTTATATTTCTGGATTTGTATTTTTTTTATATAGTTTCTGTTCTCAGTTACACCTAAGAAAATGCCCACAATCTTCCCTTCAGCCTTGGCATCATCCTGAAACTACATTCTCTGACACCCATCATCTACCTACAGTTTTATACACACTTTTATGTGCAGTTACTTAAACCGACAAAAGGGTTAATTTCTTCACAACATACAAAGCAAAATGGTGACTTCTGTAGCATCGAGCCATTAAGAATTTCAAAATTCCACATACACTGCTACTGCTGCTTTACGCAGCCTACACTTTGATTCAGTAGCCTTACCACACTGCTGGTGTGACCGTGTCATTCTGTGCTCTCCATGGTTTCGTTCCATAGATGGCTTCTCCGTTGACTTTCAGCCAGGCACCCATCTGCCTCAGGCGTTCCTCAAATACAACAGCGATGCGACCATCGTGAGTGGGCCCAATATTCATCAAGAGATTTCCCCCACAAGACACTGTTTCTGCAAGTTGCTGAAATGTTTTTAAACACATACACAGAACATATGGTTATGGCTAATGAAATCATATATTTGAAGCTCTTTCTAAAGCCAGGCACACTGCTTCCGAATGACGAACTGAACCAGTTATGTTATTGCTGCACATTTAGACCTTGAGGGTCATACCAACAGTCAATACAAAACAAAATCCCATAAAACAAAGTGCTGCTGTCAATTTTTATGGCAGAAAACATCCCAAAATATATTTTTGCACCAATATGTCTGACTGAATCTACATTAGAATCAGATCCTATAACCTTTTAACATTTCAACTTCTGCAGGAATTTCATAAGGGTTTTACCGATAGAACGGATCGATCATTTCTCTGTACAAGAGGAGAGTAAGGCTAATAAATGCCACTTCCTTTTTTACTGAAGCCGAGAGAAGCA